TTATTGATCTGTATGAGCATCTCACCCATCATCAGACTGAAAGCCAGAAGAGACCACGAGACCAGCTTCTCTGAGCCCATGGCCAAATATCAGGCACCAGTCTGGTTTTTATATACCTTTGCAGACATTTTGCTGAGGCAAAGTACTTGTTCAGCAGAAGGACAAACCTGCACCAGAAGACCCTCCTCCCATCGTTTTCTCAAAACACTGAAGACAGGCTGGAAAAGAGCCTCCTGCCAATCGTCATGAGAACATCATCACAAAAGATATTATATTGGTAGCAGACTAACCAGTTCATTCTGCAGCAAGGAATTCAGGGGAGCATTAAAGACAATCAAGGGCTCTAAAGCACAAAATCACATCTGTCAAGACATCTAAAGCATATATTGAAGTGCTGTCCTGAATCAGAATCTTTTGGGACTAAAAATCTTTAGGACATGGCGTAAAAACCTAATGCCATGTGTGATGCTCACAGCCTTTGTGTGTGCAGCATCGAACAGAGCATCCTGGCTGTCCCGGCTGTGGGGGTTTGTTTCTCAGGAAGAGGATGGTTGGCACTACAGCCCAACATGTGGTCGTCGCTGGCAGATATCCCCCAGCTGTAAAACACCGCGTGAGCTCCCTGGGTCCCAGCGGGGTGCTTACCCCCATGGACAGCACTCCAGGTACCCGAGCAAAGCAGACAGAGAGCTTGGGCTCCCTGCTGCGTCCTGGGGATGGTCCCAAACTGCTCCAGTTTTGCTCCACTCACGTGCACACAGGATGGTGGCTTAGGAAATTCCAGGAAAGCAGGACGGTTCTCTCTGCAGCTGGCCATGCGCTGACCCAATTGCAGGGGTCTTTCACCAGCTCTGCAGAGAAGCTCCCAGGTCTTTCACCAGCTCTGCAGAGAAGCTCCCTCTTTTCCTCTCTTTTGGCTCTGTCCAGGTGCTCTAGTTCTCCCTTTTAAGTGATGCATGCATGGCCCAGGGGCAGGGCTAAGAACTGCAGAAAAGCGATTCTTTTTATTAACAGACCTAAAATTTCCTTCATAAAGTACACTAAGATAGACTCCTGGCTTGTTAGCAGCAGTAAATCTCCAAGTCCAATAGACTTCAGTTAATGAATATTGATTATGTCGGTGCTGGAGAAGGCTGGTGTCAGTTGAACAGAGATCCTGTACCCCTCTTTGTCTGAGCAGGGCTGTAAATTACCCCAGAGCTCATTTGTTTTTTCAAAATGAGCTATTGCAAAACACCCTGGTTATGGCTACACGGCAGCTCTCACTGTCCCGGGGCTGGGAAACCATTTTAATGCTAATAGCAGCTGGTCAGAGGGGACAGGCATTTCTTACTGGGTTTTTTTAAGCACTTGGGAACCTGTGCATGTTTTGGAGCTCAGGCAGGATTTATCAACTCACTTAGGGTCCAGCTCCTGTATGCTGAGAGGAGCTTACCTGCAATTCGGAGGAGCAGGGGCGGACTCCCAGGGGGTTACAACAGGCAGGGGATGCCTGTGAGGCAGTTCCCAATACCCCCTTGAGACACCCGAACACACAGTGTGAAAAGTGAGTTATTTTATACACAGAAGCCTAATTTCTTGGAGGACCGCTGCCAGCCTGCAGCCAAGCACACTTACATCCCAGTGTGCTGGAAAAGGCTAGGCACTGACAGAGATCCCTCTACATCGGGCAAGCCTGCCCCAGGCCTCTGGCTGGCTTTTGCACTTTTCCATCTGTTTATGGATGAAAACCTCTCTATCCCTCAAGGAATATCTTGAAAGTAAGAATCTAAGCTGATTAACACAAACACCATGGTCACCTGCACCTCTGACTCACAGACAGATCCCATGGTGCTCTCAATGAGTGACTCTGTGTTTTACCTTCAGGCTGGGATGACTTTAAATGGTCTTACATGAATGAAAGATCAGGAAAATAAACCAAGGGCAGTCCATTGCCACCCAGAGAGACCTTATCACTGCCCCCTGCCAGAGGACAGAGGCAGGGATGAGTGGGGAGGGTGGGAGACTATGCTAATGTTTCCATGCCACTATCTTTTATGCTCAGTGAAATAACCCAACAATAAAAAAAGCCAGACCTGCCCTCTCCCCACTGCCCACATCTGATAAAAATCAAATAATAACGGGAGTGACTTATGTGCTCTCTGGCTGGTACTTCAATCTGGCTTCCAGTTAATACACACCATGATTAGAGCATCTATAATCTGCGGTCTGCGGAGACCTGTAGAGCAGCAGCAGCAGCGGGTGTGCAGCCTGATAAGGGATGTTCCCTCAGAGTGCAGATGAAACTTTTAATATTTATAACTGCTGATTTTTTTCCTGATGCCTCCTATTGAGGGGAGGTGTGAAAGTTTAAAGATAAAAGCTTGATGAAAGACCAGGCGGAATGTTTTCCCAAGGACAGGCAGGGGCTTAAAGCTATCTCCACCTAAGAGCTGGTTTAAGAACGCTGCTTAGGCAAGCGCAGCGTCAGAGATGGGGGATAAAGTCTCTGGAAGACCTTCAAGGCTTGTCTAAAGAGCGCCCAGGCTGAGCTGTAAGCTCCTTCAAGCTGTCTGCCATTTGTCTCATCTGCACCAAGCACAGTGGGGCTGTGCCTGGGACTGCTAGGCATCACCACGAAATAATTAAGCCACACCAGGTCAGCTGCACATACTTAAAGTAAAGTGCTAACAGCATTTCCAGCTCAGCCCTGAAATACGCCGAGATCTGGAAACACACTGCGTCAGCCCAACCCATCAGCAGGGACGGCCATGGCCAGCACTCAGGGCACTGGGAATCCACTTAAAAAAATAAATCGCATTTTATTCCGATCAAGTCACTATTAATTGCAGTGCAGTATTTAGGATCCACGGCTGCTGAAACACTGAGAAGATGCTGGTGCCTGCGCAGCCATCCTCCTGGGAAAACGCAAAGCCCCCCATTTCCAGTAGCATCCCTCGTGTGAGTGTATAATATTTCAGTCGGGGGTCACTTGTTCTCAGTGAGAGAAGGCTCTGCTCACGGGCAGCAGCAGGTCATGTTCCAAGGCAGCAGCTGCTACTTTCCACCACTCCCCACTAGCACCATCTGCCCCACGTGTTGGGTACCCTTGTTCAGTGCCAGGAGAACCCAAGACAACAGCCAGATGCACATGGCTTATGCAGCCCTCGTGATGCCACACTGACAGAGACCCTGCTTACCCTCTGTCCAGACAGAAGAGCCCAACCAAACCCTCTCATTTTGAACACCATGAGACCTGGACTTACACCATGTCCAACTGGTTTAATATTTGTCCATTAAAAAAAGAATCCTAACGCTCCCGAGTGTCAGTACTGTGAAAGACAGGAATGACATTGCCCATCAGTCATTTCTGAGAGATGTAACTGGGCCAACCTGAGTAAAACAAAAAGATGCAAAGGCATTCAATACATATATTCGTTCATGTCATCTGAAAGACGATAAACTTATATACTTCTTTCAAATGTAATTATATGGTCTCCATTAGCATCAGAGCACTTCTAGCTGTTTAATAAACACATACATACAACATACATATGATACAGGGAGGTACATTTTAGAGCTGAAATACAAGGCTTGGGTGAACCTGAACTGAGACCTCTCAAATTGTAAGTTATCTCAGTCATTCTGCCTTCTTACCGCAGATACCAGAAGTCAAAGAAAGAACAGCAGGCTGGCCAGGGGAGAGAGGATTGCTTCTTCACAAGGGAACAAAGGTAAAACTTCCTAACAAAAAAATATGCTGGAAAAACACCCCACCTGAATTAAAAGTATCAGAGAGAAGCGGCAGAGCTCTGTACTCTGAGGACATTAATTTAAGGTTGGACCCAGTGATCTTAAAGGTCTTTTCCAACCTAAATGATTCTATCATTCTATGACATGCTCATTGTTTGGAAAGCATGAAGAAAACTGTATGAAGAAAGCAAAACACTTGGCTTCTCCAAGACCATGCAGTTTTCCTTGACTTCAACAGACTTGTCTGACAGAAATTAGATTTCTTTGCCTCCACTTTCTTGACTGTGTTTTTCTCCTCTACAAAATTATTTCAGAATATGCAACCAGAGCTGAAGTTTAACGAGACTGCAATAAGTTGTTGAAAATAATTAGGGAAAAAAAAAGTTCTGAGTGAGTTTATCTGCATTCTTAATGAGGAATTTATCTCAAACTTAAAACCCTGGGAAAAAAAGCCAAAACCCTATCAGAAGGAATTTCTGCATGACTGCTGGTACTATATGAAAAATCCAAATTAACAAAGCCACCCAGTATCAGTGGACTAGTTAAAATTTGATTAGCAGCTGGACACACACTGGCCACAGCTCCTACGCTGCTTTCAGGCTGCAAGCAAAACGACCTTAAGCTCCTTATCATTCTGAAGCAAAAATCAAGGATTAGACGTAACTCCCACTGCACATCAGCTGGCCTCCCTAGCTACAGCAGTCACCAGGATTATGCTCATTTCCAAAGCTCATAAGCATTTTGGATTAAGCAACCTTAGAGCCTGAGGCGGATGTACATGAAGGACCATCAGCAATGCTTCATATAGAATTACCGAGCATCATCTGTGAGCTGTTTTTGACAAACCTGAGCTTTCAGCACCTCACATGTGGGAGTGTTAAGACGAGCACATAGAAGCTAAACATCCCTCTGAAGATATGAGTTTAAAAGTGTATATAAAAAAATATAATTAGAATACCATCAGGTGCTTACAGTTATGTACTGAAGTCACTTGCTACAAACAGGTTGTCAGCTCTAGTACAAAAGTAACACATCTGAAAAATAAGAGCAGTGGGTCAGAGACCGCACTTCCCCTCAGTCCCATCGAATGGCAGCAAGATGGTCTGTGTCCATGCAGTCATCGATCACAGCCAGCACCAGCAGCTTTGGAGGAAAGGGCTGGAATCCCAGCAATAAACAAGTTCAGAAAAATCTGCTCCAAGGGAAAATCCCTCCCAAATACCAGGTGACAGTACGCAAGCATGAGAAACAAAGGAAAGTCCATCCATGGGTAGTGGCAAAGGTCACTGAAGAAGGTGGCACGTTTCTCAAGCAGTCCAGCTCTCATCACATGGAGATACTTCAAGGGCAGAATTACCCAGCACAACATGTGAGCTTTGTGCATGTCCCTAAGATCAGTCAGTTGCACAGATGTGTTTATAAGAGACGGTGTCAATCTAAAGCGAAGTGCTCTGCAAAAATATCATTTTTCTTCCCAAACAAACCTCGTATTTGCTCAAACTCCAGGGGCACATCACCAGCCTTTTTCTTTACTTCTTTATCAAAAAGCTACAAAGAAAAAAACAGAAGATATTGGCAAAACTCAGTGGAAGCTCTTCACCCTGGCTGACACCACTGCTCACTCTAACCTCTTAAAAGATCCAGCAATAAACCTTTTATATAAAAGCCAGCCCTGTCACCACCGCTGCCTCATGCTCCATTATTTAACAGACATTTTCCCTGGCTCTGAGTAACTAAAAGTCAGCCTAGCTCCCACCCCAGCAGCAAGGCTGACGAACAGGACACAGCTATGGCGTCCAGGAACCAGTCTCCCTTCCTCTGGTTCCAATCATTCACACAGGCACAGCAACACTACCTCGTAAGCCGAGAGCTCCAGGAGCCCTGATATGTCGTCCTCTATTTCCGACAGTGACTGGTTCAGGATAGCAGCGGTCTTGGCCACATCTGGGTGATAATGGTTTTGTAGAGACTGCAAAAGCAAGACAAACAGAAGACGGTCTAATAAGTACAGGTTATCATACCCATCTGACTTCCCACACAAGTGCCTCCTCCTTTGTTAGTCAGATCTTCAGTGAACGTTAAATTCTGGCAGAAGAAGGCAAGTTTGCTGTCATGTGCTACTACAGAGCTTCAAGAAATCCTGGTTTCAGCCATCCGTCAAACAGACAAAGGCCCCTTCCACCTGGTTCACACCCAGATCAAGACGGATTCCTCCACAGGCCATGCCTGCAATGGATACCCCAGTTCTGCCACCTCCCACAGCCCCGATGCCACATCTGAGCTCCTGCTCTCTGGGCTTCCTGCTCCTGTGCAACGCTCTTGTTGCTGCTTCAGCTCCTTACACAAAACCTTTGTAGTGTTTAAATGGGAGGGATAATCTTGCCATTAAGGCTTTAGAGCCATCAGGAGTAATCTAACCAATTTCAGTCTTCATACACCATCCTACAAATGATCCAGGTGAAAGGTGAACGTTACAATCTTCTCTCGTACTTTTAAACCCATTTCTACAGGATGACCTACTTGTACCCAATTAATTTCCATCAGTGCTCAGCAAGTTCCTCTCTCCTCTCCAAAGCAAATAAAAAGCCTCATACGTTTGCAGCTATTTATTCTGTTTGAGCTGTTAACTGCACACTTTTCAGCTGCACGGTCAGACGTGTGCTCACAAGTCACCTTCTAATTAGCATGTATGATTTCTCCTGTGTGTGGAATCCTTTGCCTCTTACGCTAGGATAGAAAAGGATGCAGAATGAAAGATCAGCCAGAAACTCACCTCACTTGCAAGACATATGTCAGCAGGTTTTGTAAGTGGGACTGCCCACTGGCAACATCTGCCAAGGAAGCAGCAGGAGTGGGAGAAGCCCATACCAGACACAGATGTTCCTTTTCAGCTCACATACCTGAATCTCCCAGAGACAGCTCTCCAAAGCCTTGCTTTTAGATGGCTCCTCCTCCTCCATAATATATGGATCTTCTGACATATCTAAGGAAATAGAGATACAGAGCTAATACCTCCCATGTGAGAAGGGAAGACAGAGACCCAGAGCAGTGCCGCAGCCAGGGTTGCTCCTTCCCAAGACATTTAGGGTCCAGGAACAAGCTGACACATCCCAGCATGACTCAAGAGGCACTGTTTGCAGCACTACAGAATCACATTACTTTTAAAGAGCACAGGAAGCAGGGCACAGAGAACTGGCATAATCTGATGCAAAGGTCAGCTCAGGCAGCTTTGAACAGTCACTACTAATGTTCAACACTGGTCAGTTAAATCACAGGGAGATGAAGTAAAAACTCGGGAGAGACTGCTGAGGCCCCAGTGGGGCCACCTACACAAAAACACCACAGACGGAAATGGAAGAGGTGTCTGGTTTCTGCATTCATTTTCTTCTCGTTTCTGGAGGTGAACAAGACAAGCTCAGTGTCTGGTACAGCTCCCTCGGCCCTTCAGCATTTGTAAGTGGCCTGGGTCAGCGCGCCAGACTCAAAGCAGCTTTCTCCAGGGAATCACGGAGGCAGGGGAGCCAGCTGTGAGGCCCGAGGTCAGACAGGAGCAATGCAGGCAGGTCTTCAGTCAGAGAACACGCAGGAACAGCCTGCTGACTTTCCCCAAACTCAAGGGACAGAGTGATCCTTCTGAGCCTCCGAACTGGAGCTGGGATCTTCCCTCCTCCTTCACATGAATCCTGCTCTTTACGTTGTCTAAAGACATAACACAAAACTCCCTGCCCTTACCTTCTGGCCCATTAGGTCGGTGTATGAGCACTTTGCAGGCGGGGTGCCTCCGAAAGAGATTGCAGATGAAGGGAATGACCATGAGTAGAGCCTCGGGAGGAGCAGTCAGGGCCAGCCGGGAGAGGCGCTTTATAAATGCTGCCACCAGGTACGCTGGCAAGTGACTGTTGGAAAGGAGACAGAAGAAACCAGCATGTAAAAGCCCTAGCAAGCGGGCCAGCAGCCTCCCCAATCCAAACCACATGTCAGGGTAAAGATCAGTGGAGCTCTTCAGATCTTTTGGGCTATGGAGTAAAGAGAAGCTGTAAGAATCCTGGTTTCAAGCAGTAATAGGGGGTCTAGGGCACTCTCTGGAACAAATCTGGGGGCATTTCCATTCAAAGCATGAATAGTCTCCAATCACTCTGATTCAATCCAGATGCATGGCACCACTCCAGGCACTCGCCATTGCCAAGCACAGCTCTCGTACACGGTCATTCACATGGCAGTCTCTACCGAGTCCTTTTATAAACTTCTGAGTGCTTTGCCAGGCAACCTTAATTATATTTTTCTAATGTAGTTTTGTGGGTTGGTTTAATACACGGCCATGGTGTTAAGTTTACATAATACTTCCAGGACTAAAGAAGCAGTGCAGCTGTTAATGGGAACATAAAGCTGCTGTAATGTAAATGTGCAGGATAGTTTTTTTTTTTAATGGTAAAAATGCAAATTTCTAATAGCAATCAGCTCATCTAGGCACTTTTTCTTGGGTCAGAAGAGCTGGAATGGAAAATGACAATTTTCAGCCACTCAGCCTTCAACCCTAGGACTCACTACACCTGCAAGGCTCAGCAAAGCCACCCCACAGGACACCATCTGTCCCATCTTGTGACTCTCTCCAAAGTACACTATGAAGACAAGGGGTTTGATATTCAGTCCCTACTGCTGAACTGTAAAGTGTTACTCTTGGCTTATTTTATAACATACGACAGCAACTATATGACCAGCTGCTTATCTAGTTTCTTCCCTGCCTACAATGAACTGACAGCATCAAGACGGACTGTCAAACACTTTATATTTCAATGTTATAGTCCGCAAAAGGTCATCAACTGATCAACAGCTTTATGATCTATAAAAAGCCTGCAAATGTTACTTTTCCATATTCATAAAGATAGATGGAAAAATCATCGCCTTCAGACAAAGTGGAATACAGATCAAAATACAACCATAATCATTTGCAGATCAAACTCAGATAACTAACTGCATTTTTACTTCTGAAACTAGATGGCTGTGTGGCAATTCTTCAAAAACAGCACATGAAATATTACACAACACTACAGTAACACTCACGGATTCAATTTTCTCACTAAAAATTGATCTAATCCAGTAGGCACGCTGAATACATTATATCCAGAAATGTAGAGGACTGTTCAAGAACAGCCTCTGACCAACAGAAAAGCAGAAGGAAAACCTGTGAGCACACGTGATAAAGATGCTACTTACGATGAAGACAAAAACAGGTCAGCCAAATGGAAAAAGCGGCCTCGGTACTTCACGTGATATATAGAAGGGTCTAAGAGACTATACAGCTTTTTGTAAAAGTCAGGATATTCCCTGTTAAAAAAAGGCGAAAGAGATAACATCCATTTCTCATTAGTGATGTACAATGCGACTACACTGTGTCTAAATGTTCCTGTGCTTTCATTATCATAGAACCATAGCATGGTTTGGGTTGGAAGGGACCTTAAAGATCATCTTGTTCCACCCCCCTGCCATGGGCAGGGACACCTCCCACTAGCCCAGGTTGCCCAAAGCCTCATCCAGCCTGGTCCTGAACACCTCCAGGGATGGGGCATCCACAGCTTCTCTGGACTACCCCAGACCCTGCTGTGCTCTGTTTAGCTTTCTTAGGTTTCTCTCCACAGCTGCCACTTGAAAACAAGCTGTAAAGCAAATTAATTCATGGCTCTTGCAGGGCCTGGCCATTCTCAGGATGTGAAGCTATGTCCATCAACTGCAAATGGTACAGGATCCAGGGAAAGGCACACCAAAGACCACGGCTTCACTATGTAATCAGATCAATAGAAATCGATTTTCAAGTGCTGAGTAACCACAATCTGCAGAAGAGGATGTTTAGGCTCAGCTGAAAAAAGGCCAGACTATCAAAAGAGCTCAGGATCCAAACAGCTAAGCCTCTTGTGCAGAGTTTGGGTTTCTCATGTGGGAATTTTAAACCTTGAAGGTGTGGAGAATCTATTTCAGTTCCTTTTACATAAAGATATAAGTGCAAAACCCCATGTTCCTTTAAACAAGATGCTCTTTTCACTTACAGGTTATGCTCATGAATCAGAATAAATAATCCATTTAAGGCTAGAAGACTGATTGCTCCACCTGTAAGAAAGCAGGCAAGTATCAACACAATAAGAAAATAAATACCAGCTTCAAATTGTTTCTATAATAAAAACTTCCCAAAAGTAAAAAAAAAACCCTAAAAGTAGCTGAAATCAGAGCCAGCACAATGGCTGTAAGGTAACACAGCTTCATCTAAAACCATCCAGAGGCTCACAGGTCACTTACAAAGACTAAGCTGTAGTTCAGAACAGGCTCTGAAGGACTGAGACACACAAACGTGCTGCTCTAATTCCCCAAGAAAGCAACACTAGAGAGGCAAAGGTCTCCTCAGAAAGGATATTTCTGTAGGAATCTGTGCATCCTGTGTCCAGATGCAGCTCAGGTCCCAGCATTGCTGGCTGAACTCTATATTTAAAAGAAATCACCCCAGTATTCTACCCTTCCCTAAGCCTTAAATATGATCCTTAAATAGAAAGAGCAACAACGCTAACACAGATAGAATCATCTCACTTTCAGGGACAATGGAGTTCACCCTTGTTCCTTAGCTTCACCCCAGACAAAAGTACACCTGCTTCATCATCCAGGCTGTGGTGTTGAGTTCAGCAGCTCTTCCAGTCCGTGTGTTCCATGCTGCAGAGCCTCACAAAGGACAAAAAGCCTGCTTTCACTCACCTATGCCATAGGCCACTGTCAAGAAGTCCATCATGAGAGTGGGCTCGTTCATATAAGGCAGGATGGAGTCATGCAGAATGACAAGAACTTTTTTGTAAAGGCCAGTGGGCAGCTGCGAAGGACAAAACAATACAGTGAAACAATCATTGCAGGGAGATCTCAGAGAGCAACAGCAACCCGTGGCTCAGAAAGGCAAGGCACAAGCAATGGACAGTACAGAACAGCTTGCAGCAACAGCTCCCAAAGGGGAGAGTTTACAAGTGACACCTGACAACGAAGCTCTTTCAAAGAAGCAGGTGCTCAAAACTAAAACTGTCATTACAGCTCAGAGGGGAAAGCTAGGGGAGTGGGAAGTCACCAGGAAAAAGGTTGTGAACCTCCAACTTGTGAACAGAGGTTGTTACACTGCAGATCCCTCCTTACAGGCATACTTGTTTAAGGTGGGGAAAAAAAGGCTGAGAGCAAGGAGACGAAACAGACTGCAGATGAGATCATGTTTCTTGGCAGGAGAACAATCCCACAGAAATGGTGACTAGGCTGCTCTCATCTGACACTGAAAGCACAGTGGGTCCTACCAGGAGCTCCATGCAAGGACAGCCACAGCCCGTAAGGATTAGCAATCAAGAAGTGACACAGATCAGTGGCAGAAGTAACACTCACCTTGTGCTTCAAAAAACTGAGCCACATTTTTTCAAATGCCTGCTTGTGCGCCTTAAAACAGAATTGCAAACAGTGAGTTAAACGCACTGGCGTAGATAAAGCTCTAATTAAAGTAGATAAAATTTCAACTCTAAAGCACCAAAGGAAGAGTTACCTGTAGCTTTGACACTTTCAACTCCTCCCAGTTATCTAAGAAGAAAGGGAAAACAGATGTTGAACTTGGAATGTATGTTTAAAAAAAATTAAGATGATCCTTTTTTACTTAGTCCTTTGATACCCTAAAAATTTGGGCTGAAGCCCTTGTCTTGATACAAGGCCATGAAGAACTTGCTGCAGACTGCGAAATTTTGTAATACTATTTAGAACCACTGTGATCACACAAGCAGATATTTTTCATTAGCAAACGATAATAAAGTCTTTACACAATAAACATCTGAAACCTGATTTTGCTTGTCATACACAGTCCATCATGTGGTGCTTACTAACCTTGCTTCACCATAAATTTGACCATGTCACTCTCTTTGTTCGGCATGTTAACGGGTGAAATGAGGGAAAATACGTTCTGCTGATAAAATGGCAGTGGCCTCTGAGAAAAAAAAGCATATAATCAAACATGAAGCTAGTTCCACAACAGACAGCAAGACTTCAATATTGCTATTTCCCAAGCACTGAATATACTTAGGAAAGAAAAAGGAAATTAACAAATGCTGATGGCTGAACTCTATACTGGTATATTAGCTATTGCTGCCTTGTCCTGAAGCATTACTTGTTTGTTTAAGACAAAATCTATTGCTGAACTAACTCTGGTTTAACAAAAGTGGTGTATCCGATTAAAGAAAACAGACTCTTCTTCTGCACGGGAGAGAGAACAGAATTAACTTCTGTGTGTGCCACCCAAGCTGCAGAGATTTGGGTAAAACGGAAGCTAAAGCCCAGACCAGAAGGATTTGCAAGAACAACAGTATGTGTTTTGAACTACTTCCAATTTCAGACTGAAGACAGTCATAGCATAATTAACATACATTATGAGCAAGAAAAAAAATAAATTAAAAATTCAATGCCTTTAAGTGGGCACACTCATTTCTCTTACTTCAAAAGTCCTTCCATGTACCACTAGTCCCTCCCTGCTTCACACACAAGACCGAGAAGTTTATCCAGACCCACCTCAACAGTAACAATGCGTTACCTCTTTTGTCTTCTGCATGACTTGTCCGATACTCTCAGTGACTGCCTTTATGACAAAGTACCGAATGTCATCATACTCCATATATTCTTGAAATCGAGAAATCAGGAGCGAAGCGTCCTCATTTATGGGAAGTAAGCCATCAACAACTACCTAACAGAAGGTTTGTAAAGGAAAGCAACAAGTCAGTCTCTTACAGTACTAGAGCAGAGAGCGAGCTGTGATGGCTGAGGGCACCTCCATATCCTTCTGAAAGGCAGCTAGCATGGCTGTGTGCTGCTTGCCCCAGAGCAACGTTCACAAGCCATTCTGACAAGCCCTCCTGACCTTCAAGACAGGCCCCTTCTATCAAAGACAATGTCATTTAGAAAAGACATGGTGGCTGAACCAGGGGCAGCACCTTCCTTCTCATCTCCCAATCCTCACAAGTGAGGCCAGGGACTCCAAAAAAACCATCCAACTGGTACCTCATAAGCACTCAGGAATCCAGCTCGAACCTGTACAAAGCACCTGCTCCCACACCTGCAGGTGCCTCCTCACCAGGGACACAAGCTCTAGGTCCTGGTGCTCTCTCTAGAACACCATCCTCCCTTCCCACTAAAAGCCTCCCAGCTTGACACGTTAGTCCTGGCGAAAGTGAGCACAAGAGATCGTGTGTGCCGTTGGGTAACGACAGGAGGAACTTTTCAGTTCTGCAGCTTACCTTAAGAAGTTCACGAGGAAAAGTTAAAGTCCCCTTCCACTCTACTTTGATCAATGGATATTGTGCCTCCAACTCAACAAACTTCATAAGGGTGCAGAGTGCCATTTCCTTTAAAAAAAAACAACACAGAAAAACCCCACCTCAACAAGGACACCAGGGTCAGACCCAGAGGAGGCAACTTCTAAAGGAGGAAGAAGAACGAACCAAGCTGTTCTTCCCTGAGAAAGCCTGGTGGCAGGCCGGTGAATGGAGGTGAGGCAGAGCATCTACAGCATCGCCTGCCCTCCCACACTGAAATATTCGCGTGATAATTGCTTAAGAACCACAAGGGACCCCCACGTAAACCCACATCGCAGCAGAATGCCCAGGACCCACCTTGACCTGGAAGGACTCGTGGCCCATCAGCTCCGCCAAGCAGCCCACGCAGTCGTTGTAGCGGTGCCTCATCCAGATCTTGTACTTCTCCTCAGCGCTGTACTTCTCTGAAGGGGGAACACACAGGAATCCTGACAGCTCAGGCCGACCCCAGGGAGCCGCGGCCCAGGCTGGGGGCCCTGCGC